TGGAGCTCCCTCGAATACAAACGAATGGTATATTTTCTTCATAGAAGTGCTCTGACCTTGGAAGCAATAGTTGAGGCAAGAAGAAGTAGAAAAAACAAGAACAATTTCCTTGAAGAGAATTCTGTAATATATTGTCAGGTCCAGAACTGCCTGAGAATGAGTAGCAGCTGTGTAATACAGAGGGAAAAGCACGAGCCCCAGAGTCCCAGAGTTGTGAAAAGGTCTTTATTTCACCCGCTTTTAGGAGTAATAATTTTTCTGGTTACTCGATTGCAAGTTGAGAGGTTTTTTCCTCAGTGTGATTCCACTGACTCTGGCCTCCGTCGTCCGCTGGGAAGTCCACGGTCAGTCTGAAGGCCCCGCCTTGGCAGGTGAGCTCTCTTTTCTCTCTCGCTGCCTGTAAGATCTTCTCTTTGAGTCTATTCTTCAGATTCTTGGAAACGTGTGTAGGTATGAATGCCTTTTCTGCTTGGTACATGTTGTATTTCTCTACGTGCAGATTCATGTCTTTCTTCAGTTTTGGAAGAATTCTCTTCAAATATTATCCCTCCTCCATTCACTTTCTTCTCTCTTCTGGGATTCTGATTAGATGTTTATTCAATTTTTTCATTCTATTCTCCGTTATTGCTGAATGCCTTTTCATATTTTCTTATTTTCTCTCTTTGTTCTGTATTTACACTTTGCTAATTTGTTCAGATTTCTCTTCTAGTTTATTAATTCTCTCTTCAGCTGTGTCCAATTTTCTGTTAATCTCTTTATGGGGTTTTAAAATGGAACCGTTATTTCACCTATGAAATATCTATTTGTTTCTTTCTCAAATATGCCTGTTGATTTCTGGTAATCTCTAGTTCTCTGCTCATATTTGTCATTCCATTTTCAAATTTCTTTAAGCTTTTTATATATCATGACTTTATATTCTGTCTTTGATCATTCAAATACCTGATGCCCTGTGGGAAGGCAGGAGGCTAGATCTGTTGTGGTAGTTTATTTCCTGCGTGTTTGGTGATTTGATTGTGAGCTCATATTTGCTTGATTTTAATTTCTGAAAAAGCTGGAGAACTACAATGAAGATGTTTTCCTCGGTGAGAATTTGCATTTGCTTCTGCCCAAAACTAGGGTCACTCCCAACCAGGGACCACTTTATACCCCAGCGAGTCCTTGGTTTAAACTCAGAGCCTTGGGTTCAGCCCCCCTGCTTTGTCAATGGCTCAAAGCTTAGTCTCCTAAAGGCAGCCCTGAGTGCAGCATCTGTCCTCTGGGCAACACACACCTTTTACTTACGCTTACCATTCACAGTACGGGTTTTAGTTTATGGTTTTTAAGGCCTTTTTTGGTCCTTCTAGAGTTATTTACCGTGAGTCTGGCATTGAAATAACAATTGTGTTTTGTGTGGGATCGAGTGGTTTTATAGCAAAAGCCTTCAGAATTTCTAGTCCATCAAACTGCTGAAATATGAAGTCAAGATCTAAATTTGTACCATCTCTGACGTGTTCTAGCTGTATGATCCGGGTAGGGAACTTAATATTTTGAGTCTCAATTTGACTGTCTCTGAAATGGCATTTAAGACGACCTGCGTGTGGTTCTCACCCACTTTCCCACTGCCACACATTGCACGTTGTAAGGGGCGATGTTCACGTGAATGACACACTAAATTTTTATAATACGTAAAACAATTTTGCAGGGAAGTAACGCACTATGATAATCTGTATTTGCTACAACTATTAATGTGTCTGAGATGTAGTTACTACAGGCACAGATAAGATCTCATGTTATGTGAAATTTGCCTTTACTAATTTTTTCCCCCACCCAAAATGGCATTTTGGAACACAAATCAACAGACTTATTGTGGAATAACCTTGATTCTCTTTGAATTCTAACACAATGTAAAAATCATAAATAATTTTAAAACTGGTGTTCCAAGGAGGCCTTTAGCTTGCAAGGAGCTCACTCAAGCTGCTTTAGGGCAAACGTGGGCTGGTGGTTGTTCTGAAAGCAGGAGGCCATTAGGATTCGGCCACTTCCTCCCCGCTCCCCCGGTGTCTTCACTTCTCTCTCTGTGTCTTCTTTTCCTTATAGCCTCAGTTCACTCCCAGTTTCTGCTCCCTCATAACCTCATCTTGCACATGACCTCCTGGCCTTTCCCTTCGCTCTATATCATAATCTTTCCATCTCAACTTCCTCCTTCCAGTAGTTCCCAGCTCAGATTCCTGAAAGCAACCATCTCAGTTAATCTTGTCAACCAGGGCTGGCCAGGCTGTGAACTGGCTGCCGTTGGGTCACCCTGCCCTGATTAACTGTATCTGAGGAGACAGAATCACAAAGTTACGGGGGCTGTGGCAGGGCAATTTCCTTAGAAGTCCTTGGCATAGCAGACTTTTACTTAAGACACACTTTACAGTTCTAGAGGGAATGAGAGAGCAAGGTGTTACACCAATGTGTCAAGACACTGTAATTGAGAACTGCTGGTGATTGTGACAAACAAGGAGCTCAGCAGCTGTCAACACACCAGGTGCTCAATAAGTGTTAGTTCCCTTCCTGCCAGAAGCTTCCCAACCCCAAATCCATGAGGACAGCTGGTGTCCTGAGGCTCCCCTCCAGCTTTGGGTCTTCACGGAATGAGCACACGCATCTGAAAGTACTCCCGGCAGTTGGGGAGCCTCAAAGTCTGCCCATTTCAGCCCTAACCCCATGTACGTCAGCAGTAAGAAGCAGCACTGACTCCTCTGAAGGGACACGGAGCTTGGAGCTGAGTTGGCAGGACCAGGATAGCCTAAAGGCTCACAGCATGGACTCTGAAGCCATGCCACTGGGTGTCATTTACTAGCTATATGACCTTGGCCAAATATCTTTACTTCTTTGTGTCTCATTTTCCTCATATGTGAAATAAGAGTAATAATTCTCCTCCCACAGTTATGGTAGAGATTAAATGAGTTGATCCACGCAAAGCCCTCAATCCATGCCATCACAACAGATGCTCAATAAGCATAAGTTACCGTATTGTTAAAACTCCCAGAGGTCGTCCTGCTGATCATATGCCCATCTGTGATCCTCCTTCTAATTCACCTCGGAGAGCTATGAGTCTCCTCTTAGAATTACCTGGAAGAGACTGCACAAGCACTTCAGAAAGTCCTTATATCTCATGGCCCATAAAGTAGAAGAGACATTTTCCCGTGGTTCTAACCTCATTCTGCTACAACACAATCTCCTGTCTTCTTTGTGTTTCCTTGTCCTCAAAAGTAAGAAGGGTGTGGCCATCTGGCCCCTCACCCATGTGACAAATGGATCCACAGCTAGAGACAAGCTCCTTCCTTTGAATGGTGGCAAGAGCGCCAAGATGTTCTCGAGGCAGATGGCGCAGCTGGAGAGAAGCAAGGGAAGCCTGGTACATCCACACTGCTCCTTCAGGGGCCCTGCCTCCCACCTTCCCTCACAACCTGCCCTCCACAGAACTTTTAGCTTCAACTGAATGATGACATCCTGTCCCTGGATGAAACCGACAATGCTTATCATCGCAGAAAAATGCAAATATTTGGTATTAATGGAAAATTTTTTCCATTACACATAGGGAGAACATAGGGAGTCTTTAAAAAGAAATGTTTAGATTTTTTTTTTTTTTTTTTGAGGAAGGTTAGCCCTAAGCTAACTACTGTCCATCATCCTCTTTTTGCTGAGGAAGGCTGGCTCTGAGCTAACATCTGTGTCCATCTTCCTCTACTTTATACGTGGGACGCCTGCCACAGAATGGCATGCCAAGCGGTGCCGTGTCCGCACCCAGGATCTGAAATGGCGAACCCCAGTCCGCCAAAGCGGAACATGCAAACCCTTGCGCCACCAGGCCAGCCCCTAGGTATTTATATTCTTTTTTTTTGAGGTAGATTAGCCCTGAGCTAACATCTGCTGCCAATCCTCCTCTTTTTGCTGAGGAAGCCTGGCCCTGAGCTAACATTGTGCCCATCTTCCTCTACTTTATATGTGGGATGGCTACCACAGCATGGCGTGCCAAGCAGTGCCATGTCCACACCCGGGATCCAAACTGGCAAACCCCGGGCCGCCGAGAAGCAGAACGTGCGAACTTAACCGCTGTGCCACCGGGGCAGACCCCTAGGTATATTTTTTTAAAAAAACCTTTCTTCAAAATGTTTTAGTTCCTGTATGTTTAGAAGATGATGACATTCTCCAAGCCTTTCAACCAGGTTTGTGAAAACCACTAGGCTCATTCCGCACACACACAGTCACATCAGCATATGCAAAGGCGCGGACAGAGGAACACACACGGCTCCACACACTTGGATTCTGTATGCACTCAAACACACAGCATCAACAAAATGGTACTCACATGTGCCTGTCTACACACACACACATGCACAGGTACCTGCAAGCATTCCGGTTCACAACAGATGGCTGCACTATACCCTAACACACATATATGAACAAATAGAAACTAGTAAATAGAGCCACTGCTGTAGTTTCACTGGCATATGTAACATGGAGTGCATGCACACAGCACATCTTTAGTGTGGCCTATTCACCATCAGGTTTGGAGGTAGGAAAGAAAATTGCATACTTTCAGGGACGCTCAGAAATCTAGCTAAATTCCTAAACCTGCAAAGTTCCTTGTCTCCTCCTTCTGTCCTTGGCCCTCAAGTGAAATGACTGAGTGTGGCGTAGAATTGGGGCTGTAGGGTTTTTCCAACTCGGGACAGTGGATGCTTGAACGGAGGCCCTTGGAAGAGTCCCATGAGTCTAAGCGGTGTCCACTATGAAAAGAGAAAAAACAACTCCACCACTGGGAATGAAAATCCAAAACCCAGCAAGTTTATCCTGTCCTAGATCCAAGGAACGACCAGGTGCTGATTAATTCCCGGGGGAAGGGGGAGAGCAACGCCAGCACAGACTGAGGCCTGTTGTGGGAGAGAGACGGGAGGGCAAGAGGGAGGAAAGTCTGAATCTATAAGCTTTCTTTGTATACAAACCAGACTCAGAAGTTTTCTTTATTTCAGCTGGAACTCACCTCGCAGCGGCCCTGTTTACTCACCTACCAGCTGCCTTCCTTAGAACCAGTTTTGTTCCTGTTCAGAAGGAAACCAGGCAGAGTTGGGAAAATATTTCCTCAGCCAGCTCCGCAGCCCCACTGTCTGGCGGAGGCCATCTGGCCGGGATGCACTCCGAGGGAGTAAACGCAGAATTGCCCTCTCCCCGCACGACAGGGCAGAGAAGACGGCAGGTCCCAAGACGGGCTGCTACTGTGCTGATTCTAACTCATCTCCGGAAGTCCCCAGAGTCCAGCAGTGTGCTGGTGATGTTTCACCACCGGCTCCCTGGGAGGGTGGAGGTGGGTGTTGATCTCCATGGACAATTTGGAACTACCAAAAGTGAACTCACGGAACACGGAGTTAGCAAGAGATGCACAGTAGCACTCCACTGTGCAAGATTTCTACCATACGGATATCATAGATGTACATGACCCCAAGAGCATAGATAAGAAAATGCAGTAAAATAATTAGCAAGCGATGAGTTTTGAGTATTTCCTGCCTTTGTTTGTAATGTGATGTAATTGTGAGTTTATATAATTTAATTTCAAATGGTGTATGCCTTTAACAACCAGCTCACCACAACCCAGAAAACTGAGCAGTCAGTTCTTGTGAGCCGGTGTGGGCTGGCTCCGAGCACCGCTGCTGGATCCTCTCTTTTACTCAGAGTCAGAGAATAAATGCATTGCTGTTAAAATCGCTCCCATTAGAAGCCAAGGCCACATCACCAAGGAAGGTTTACGGTAGGCTCCATTTCCTTAAGGAGATTCTGTCTTCAGAAGGTAGAACAGACACCTGCTTGGAAAAGAACAGAGACTGGAAAACACCAGCTGTTTTGGGTTCTTTTGGCTCTGCCACCACGTGGACTTGACCAGTGTCTCGATACACAGGTCAGGAGCTCCCGCCTTGCCCAGCCAGCCCCTAAGTGCATGTACTTCAGCTTACTTAACCAGAGTTTGACAACTTTTAGTTTTATTCCCTTAAGGCCCTTGTGCTCTAAGGCTAGTGCTCTGGCTGGAGTTTTGTGGCATCGTCTGCATCTCGGGACTTTGCCATTTTAGCTCGTGGGTCCTGGAGGGGGTGTGGCTGTATGCCTGTCCTGCTATTTCCTGGACCCGCTCAGAGGAGACGGAATACTGCTTGTCTCCCAAAACTCTCCCGTGGGGACATTCGTACGTGAAGGAGAGGGCATTTCACCCAGCTGGGGTCAAGGGGTCTGCGTGTCCACTCTAGCCTCTTATCTTCTGAAAAGTTACTGAGCTTTATCCAGAGTGCACAGGTCCAGAGCAAAAAAGAGTGTAGGGACTGAAACTTGGGGAGAAAAGTCCTACGAGTGGGGCTGCAGGGCCAAGAATTGAGGTAGATTTCCAGCTCCAGCAGTTTCTAAAGGAGGTACACAACATGGCAGGCATGGGAGGGTCAGATAACAGACAGTGGGAGGCCTCTTAAGGGTTTAAAAGGTGGAGAGGTGGGAGTGGGCGGTGTTGATAATTTGTGTCTTCCATTTCAGGGTTGTCTGTGACGGCCGCCTATGGACACACTCAGTCCCCTAATTCTTCAAACTCATCAGGACCTTTGATACGTTGGACCTGAAGTCTAGTGTCCGTCACCCCCGCCCCCATCCTGCCTTCACTTCTCTCCTCACCCAGAGCAGATTCTAGGGCCCTTCAGCGTAATCACGCCTCGTGCATGTCCCTGTCTTCCTCCGACACACTCACTCAGTCAAACCCTAACCTTAGGTAGACCCAGCACTCCATTCCCAAGCAAGCACACATGGCCAGAGGAAAACCACAGCTGCCTGGACTGGTCTTCGCCTAAATGCAAGATGACTCATCTCTAACGAGCCTCAGTGCTGCCCAGAAACCCAGCTGCACTTCCCTAGTCAGTTCCCCGCTATCCCCAGCTATGTGGATGAACAGCTCCTGCTCCTATCCAGGCAGGTCCCTCCCCTGAAACACTGCGTTGATCTCATCTTCTGTCCACCCTCAACCTTCGGTCCTACAATTGTCCTCTCTGTCTCTTAAAACATCCTTTTCTTCTCTACTGGATCAAAACTCTAAATTTCTTATACCATTAAGGCTTCTCTCTCTCTCAGCCCCTGCCTGCTTCAGGTCAGAAGCTGCAGGGGCAGGAGGGATGGTGATAAGCTTACCCTCTATTTCCCCACCTGGCCTGTCTCCTCATCCTCCCCTCCCTCATTAGGCTGCCCCATGTCCCCCAAGGCTGCTGCTCAGGAAGAGGGAGGAGATCCAAGGAGGAGGAAAGATCGTACTTGATTGGTACCGCTGTAGGATAGTGCTGGTGTCTTCTGGCTTGGTGGATGTTTAAAGCTGCCTTTCTTCTCTTGGGTCTTACACATGTTTCTTGGTGCTGCCCCTGTGGGGATCCTCTGATGGCAGCTTCCTTGGTACAGACTATGCCCTTCCTCTGGTCACCCATTCACCACTCCTCCCCTAGCTCCTGGTGTCCCTTGGTCCACACCACACAGACTTGCTGGGACCCCAAGCATCCTCCAAGCAGTCTTCATGGGCAGGACACCTTTATGGAGCCCCAGGATGCCACCCCTGTGGCAGGCTCCTGTCAGCATTTCGCTCCTACCGCCATGAGAGTCCAGCTACTTCCCAACACAGCTCCCCACTCTGCTACACCAAGGCCCTAGCCACAGTCTCTTGTCTTCAAGACCTTTACAGGCCTGAGTCCAGCACCGGTCTGTCTGCTATATTCCCCAGGCGGCCCCTTAAAGCCCTCACTTGGTTTGCTGTGAACGGCGAGCCTCTCCTCCACAACTTTCTCCATAAAACTCAAGTCCCATCCCCCCTTCAATCTCAACCGTATAATGCCCTCAAAGTGGCTGATGTGCTTAGAGTTGCCACCGGTTGTGAGAGACGTCCTTCACAAGTCCCGCACAGATGATTCAGCACCTCACTCTGGAATGTGGGGTCTCTCAGCACCTATTGCTTTGTGCTAAGCCTTTGGGCTCTCAGTCAAAACTGAGGGAGAAAGAATTGTATTTTAGCATCTCGTTACGTACATCCATTTCTATCCATAAGTAAATAATGTGGATTATATAAAGCTCATGGGTTGAGAAAGAAAAGACAACAAGAAGGAAGTAGTGAAAGTAATTGTAAAGTCACTGAGTCCATCGAGGCTGCTGTAACAGAACGCCGTAGACTGGGCAGGACTTTATTCTCTCACAGTGCTGGAGGCTGGAAGTTCAAGGTCTAGGTGCTGGCAGATGCACTGTCTGGCGAGAGCCCACTTCCTGCTTCATGGACAGCCGCCTTCTCGCTGTGTCCTCCCGTGGCCGAAGGGCAATGGACCTCTCTGGGGTCTCTGACAAGGACACTAGTCCTATTCACAAGGGCTCAACCCTTATGACATAACCCCAGAGGCCCTGCCTCCTAACACCACTGCATTGTGCGGTGGGATTTCAACATATGAATTGGGGGAATGCAAACATTCAGTCTACAGCAGTCGTTTCCATGGTCGAGCACCAGAGCAAAGGACCATGAACACCCTCCAATCTCCGTTTCTCCCAACATGTGGCCACTCATCTCTTCCTGGGTTCCCGTGTACATGCAACGCATTTCTTGAGGCAACTTGAATGAGCCTCTTTTTCTTGCCTCCAAAAACCCAGCCAGAGAACCCTCTAAAACTGGATTTGCTTCTCACCAAACACTTCTCTGTAGGACTGCTTCCCCAGACACCCCTGATTCCATCTCGCCCAGCCCTGCCCTCCAAAGCTAGGCCCAAGGACAGCTGGGGCAGCTTCAAACAGGGCCACTAAAGCCTGAAGCCAGCAACAACACAGCGGCTCTCAGGGCTCCAGCAGGGCTGGTCAGAACCTCTTTGCCTAATATTTGCTGATCACTTCATAGGAAACCGCTGTTTGTAACAACAGCAAGACAGGGGCAGGAAACTTGCAGTGGACGATGAGGCCAGGGCAGCCTGGAGACCTTCCTCAGAGGCAGAACCGAGTTCTTTCTCGGAACAGGCTGTGGCTTCCCCTGTAGGCCAGAAAGTGCTTCTCCTTCCTCAGACTCTTTTCTACGTTTTGTATCGCCTCCTTTTCCTCTTTTTGGTGGCACTGCCCCTGCGTCTACTCCATGCTCTTGAGGAACTTTTATCTTCTTTTTCTCCTCCTGGTGGGTGGCATTCTGCAGGATGTCCGCTCCTGCCCGTGTCCGCCTTTCTGTTCTGGTTTTTTTACTAAGGACGCATCCTTTTGTTGTCTTTCCCTTCTCGTGTCCTGTTCCCTTGAAGATCTTAGTTTTTATTTGCCTTTACTTATTCATGTTGTTTACTTTTTTATACATAATTTTAATGTTTCCTTGTAAATATTTAATTATTTTTACTTTTAAAAAAGATTCTTACTTTTCTAGTTTAAAAAATATTAAGATTTTTTTCTGTTTTATCATTTTTAAACTCCTGTTCCTGGCTTAAAAAGTTAATTTTAATTTCCTTCTCTTCCTCTGGTTTGAAGTTGATACTTAGTTTTGTGAGTTGTTTCTATCATAGCCAGCAGGGAGAGTGGGTCCAGGAGTGATGGCAGTAGGACGAGGCCACGCGGCACCAGGGGGTGACGGGGCCCCTCCCCTGTCCTCTGAGCTGCTTTGCAGGCTCCCTCCAAGCCCCCTGAGGCCTCAGGTCCCTCCATACCAGCCACGGTCTGGCTTTGGGGCGCTCTCGCTGGCATCTTCAGTGGGCCAGCTTTCTTCTTCATACGGTCACTGTGGTGCTGTAGCACCCAGATGCTTCACACCAGGCACCCGCCCATGGTCTGGGCAGGGGAAGGAGGCAGAGCAGAGCCAGTGTGAGGGAAGCACGGGTGAATTCTCCGCACTCTTCTGTTGAGGTTTCATTGGCCGGAACTGCGCATCCACAGCTCCGCGGGAGTCTGGCCAGTGAGAATAATACAGAACTCTTTAAGTCAAGACCTTTAATTTTTCTTTTTGTCTTGCGAATCTCAAATTTACAGAGAAGTTGCAAGAACAATACCAAACACTTTGTTTCCTGAACCACTGAGAGTAAGTTGCCAACTGGTGCCCCAGCGCCCTGAATATTTAATGTGTGTTTCCTACAAACAAGGACATTCTCCCACATGTTGCACAGCCACAGCCCAGCCTGGACGTCAGGAAATTGATGCTGGTGAGGTCCCACCTTTAGTCTCCAGACCCCATTAGTGTTTGCCCTCTGTCTTGAGAACCTCCCTTACAGCAACGGCCCCGGGCTTGGAGTCATGCGCTGCACTTAATGGCAATGTCTCCTTAGTCTCTTCCATCTGGACCAATTCCTCAGTTTTTCCTTGACTTTCAAGTGTGTCAACTTTTTTTTTTTTTGATGCTGAGGAAGATTCACCCTGAGCTAACATCCGCTGCCAATCTTCCTCTTTTCTTATGTGAGCCCCCACCACAGCACGGCCAGTGACAGACGAGTGGTGTAGGTCCGTGCCCAGGAACCAAACTCTGGCCACTGAAGCAGAGTGCGCTGAATTTAACCACTAAGCCACCAGGGCTGGCCCGCTGTGTATCAACTTTTGAAGACTCTAGACGAGTTATTTCGTCACTGTCCCTTGCGGGTTTCTTTGCTTCCTCCTGCTTAGATCAGGTCATGCACCTTTGGCAGGAATGTCACAGGACAGACTGTGTTCTGCTCACTGCACCCTGTCAGGTGAGGCTCAGGTTCACTCTGTCATTGCCAAGGAGACTCTGACTTCCCATGGCACACTGCCCCTTACATGGGACCTTTACTTGCCCTGTCTAGACTGATGCTGCCCTCCTCCTCTTCAGGAACGCCTTCCCACACCCGTCCCCTGGACTCCAACACTTTTTTGGGTTAGGGTTAGATGGATACCCTTCTCACCCTGTCGGATGCTGATTCCCCACCTCAGTGTCCCCCTACCCGTGTGGGCAGCTTACTGTTCTACTTGGGCTCTGACACCGCAGGCCAGCCCCT